GAACCGTGGTCCCTGTGGTTTGCTAAGCTTGTTCCAAGTAGGTGCTTTAGACCACTGAGCCATCTCGCCAGCCCTAAATCTAATTTCATAGTGTTGATTTAATAATATAAAAACTGTCAAGTCTTCAATGATAACAGCATTAAATATAATATGATCAATAAATTCATATTCATTGACTTGGTTTGTTAATTCCATAAAGTAATATTTTATATATTATAAAAATTATTAATTCAGCCTAAGTGAAAGTGTGAGTGGAGGTACAGTAAATAAATAAATTATTACAAGTTGCTTCATTACAGTAATCAAAACAGTGAAACAAACACATATATGGAATGTTTTTAGAAGTTTAATTAGTGATACTTTGCTATTATATTTCCTTTAAAAATAGTTAATAGGTAAATTAATTGACTTGATAGGTAACTTGGTTTGCTGTTAAATATGTGTACAAGAAATTTCCAAAATAATTTAGGTAAATTGAAAGTTCCAGTTATGCTGCTTTAAATTAAGTAACTGACATCCATTAGTAGATCATTTCTAGGTAAAGTACAAACTACACATTACTAAACATAAGATTAAGAGTACATACTTTCATTTATAGATCATGTAATGAAGCTAAGTAAAGTTGATTCTGTTAATAAACATGTTCTTTTCATCACATTTAAAAATTTCTCTCTTGAACGGTGTAAAATAATATATTGGAGCTAATACATAAAGGACAGCAATGTGCGATACAAAACCCATGGCTGAATAACTCTCATCTTGGTCTTCTAAATGTTATCATTTCTAATGTTTTATTAATTATTATACTCTCTTTAAAATAAATTACAACAAAACAAAAATAATGTATTAATAAATATACTATCCTATTGTAAACTCCTGAATTATAGTAATACACAACTTTCTACTTTCCTCTTATGTCTATAAAAGTTTATTTACTGGTCCTTAAAATTATAAATGAATATAAATAAAATTATTATAAATAGTGAAATAATCATTCTGTATGACAAGTATCTAAGTAAAGTGAAATGCTTTCTGGTGAGGATAAAACAGATAGGATTTTGTTCAAGGAAGAAAAATGGAATTTTAATGCAAAGTAGAATAGGTGGGTGATATAAAAGGAAAATGGAAATGTTTACATGGATGTATTAAAAATAAGATACATAAAAAGAGAATCCCAGTAAAGAAATTTTTGTGTAGCCAATACTTAAGTGGACTTCTTCATTTTCTTTAAAATCAATTTTAATATTAAAAATTTGAGACTAGAAAACAAAAACAAGATCCTGATACTGATCGTTTGTTAACTGTGAAGTCGTTATATCTTTAAAGTAGGTTTTACCAGGAAACCAATGTTTTGTAACTTAATACTTCTCTATATATTTGATATTAAAGTATTGATATAGCTCAGCAGCACTGCACTTGTCTGACAAACACAAATTCACAAGTTTGACTCCTGGTACAAATAAACAAAAACAAAGCAAAAACCCTGCACTAAACTCTTGATTATTATAGAACAACATAACTTCTCAATTTCAAAGCAACTATGTTCTTTGGACTTAAGATTGACTTCTCCAATCAAATTTAGAATGAAATCTTCCTACTTTTGAGTTAAAGCCAAGATTTTGTTGATGGCTCCTGAAAAATCTAAACATATCTGTTTGCATTATTGTTTTCATGGGAAAAGAAGAGATATTACATAATAATTTGATTTATTTGACAAGATAATCTCAATGGATAGTACTGTCGGATAAGCAATACCTAAATCTTACAAAGATTATATTTTTATTG